AGATAGTTATTTGGAATATCTATTTCATTTTCTCTACTTTCCCCTAAAAATTTTTAGAAATCTACTTTTTCTAAAAATATGAAATCTCTATTGGGACACTTCAGATTTATTCAACAGATCCTGTTGTTTTTGCCTTTGTTGCATCTGTTTTAGTGATCTATTTTGAACATATTTGACATATTTTTTTCTTAATGAAACAGTACAGTGAATTGACCTAATTTAGGGACATTGCAGAGAAAAAGCCCAGTTTTTTAGTTATTTGTTACCTCCATGCTGTTATATTATATATTTGGACACTGTAGATGCTGTATACCATTTACAGAATTAAGAAAGAAATGCTTTGGCTTCTGTCTTCAAGGAGTTTGTACTCAGATTCATTGCAGTTTTTGACATGGCATAGAATTCTAGACTAGCTTTGCCTGGCAGCGAGGCATTACATGAAAGAAGTAAATACGCTTGTAACTATATGAGTGTCATTAGGCTTTGTGTTTGTGTCCAGCAGTTTCTGATTAGGCTTATCAATAATGTTGGCATTTTCACTCTATGTTCAAAAAATGTCATCCTTGTTCCTTATTAATTGCTCTGTATTACAAGGGCTGCTTTTTTCAGTCTTTATGAGATCAAAATCCAGGGAATAGTCAAGTTATCTCCTTTCTGTGTCTGTTGCAAGCGTGAGGCCATTAGGAAGGACCATGGCCATTGTGACTTCTGAGACTTCTGAGTTCCAAATAATAAAAAAGAGGTTTTTTTTTTTTTTTTTTTTTAGATAAAGTTTTGCTCTCATTGCCCAGACTGGAGTGCAGTGGCATGATCTCAGCTCACTGCAACATCCGTTTCCCAGGTTCAAGCAATTCTCCTGCTTCAGCCTCCCAAGTAGCTGGGATTACAGGCACCCGCCACCACGCCCAGCTGATTTTTTGTATTTTTAGTAGAGATGGGGTTTCACCATGTTAGCAGGATGGTCTTGATTTCCTGACCTCATGATTCTCCCTCCTTAGGCCCCCAAAGTTCTGGGATTACAGGCATAAGCCACCACCCAGCCAAAAGAGTTTTTTTTTTTTTTTTTTTGAGACGGAGTCTTGCTCTGTTGCCAGGCTGGAGTGCAGTGGTGCAATCTCGGCTCACTGCAACCTCCACCTCTGGGTTCAAGCGATTCCTCCACCTCAGCCTCCCGAGTAGCTGGGACCACAGGCTTGTGCCACCATGCCCAGCTAATTTTTGTATTTTTAGTAGAGACGGGGTTTCACCATGTTGGCCAGGATGGTCTCGATCTCTTGACCTCGTGATCCACCCGCCTCGGCCTCCCACAGTGCTGGGATTACAGGCTTGAGCCACCGCGCCCGGCCAAGAGTTTTTTTTTTTTTTTTTTTTAAACAGATCTTCTTGGCTTCTCCAGGTATGCACATGAGAATCCATTTGGATGGTTTTTAACTTTGTGGGTACTGGTCTGGTTGGTTGGGCTGTTTCCCTGAGGAATCTTACTGTCCATGTCTTCTGATTGGTGCGCAGTTAAGGCATGACCAGTGCTTCAGGTTTACTGGTTTTTCTTGTTGTGTCCCTCACTCACTATCCATGTAGGTTTTCACAGTGGGAAGAGACAAATGAAGAGGGGTCTTGCAAGCCCATTGGTCACTGAAGGTTAAAGACAATAAATGCCCCTTGGGTATTTAGATATGTTGAAATCAGTGTCACCTGTTAGGGTTCACTAGGCCATTGTGTTCTATACGTCTGGGAAGATATGGAGCCCTATAGCAGATTTTGGTGTGTTGAGGTGTTGGTGGATAGGTAGAAGCCAGCTCTTGAGGGGATAAGAATGATCTTATAGAAAAGTTTTCTTCAATAAAAGTCAAATTTTCTGGTATGCCTCAAACTTTTAAAATGATGACTTCAAAGACAGTATTCTAAGTTACATACACATACACATGTCTATATATGTTTTAAAGCTTTGAAGTTGTATCTCTGCTTTGAAGATCTATGCAGTCTTAAGTGAGTTTGGGGAGAATGTCTTTACTACCATCTCAGTATCATTAGTGATGTAGAATCAATTCTATAAAACATATATGGGAAGATGTATGTAATGAATTATTAAAAGTATAGTTATAGAAAAATCAATACAGGTATACTTAACAAGTGAATGGGGAGATTTTACTTGTCCTAATGTACTCCCTGAATATTATTATTACTGTAATAGAAAATGTATCCAGGATTTCTAGTTGCAGAGATTTTACTTGTATGTATATTCATGTAGCCACCCTCAGAAGAAAGTAAGAGAGCAAGTATGACAAAGAGAAGAATGCAAGCAAGCAGATGAACCCACTGATTTGTAGGCTAGTTGACTTTAGAGCATCTGTTCACCCATTTTTCCTTACAATAAGATTCTATGTAGAAAAATATTTACTATAAAAATTGTGTATTTAGTTATGCTTTTCTCTTTCTGATACTTTATTTAAAAAGAATCATGTCTATTTCTGGAAGTATTTTCTAAAATTCTTTTTTTCTCCTTGAAAAAGAAATTTTTCTAATACCTCAAACAAAGCAGGAATTATGATTTCAAGTAGGTCGAAATAGAATAAATATTGTTAAAAAATATCAACCACAAAGTCGACAAAGACAAACAATGGGGAAATGTCTCCCATTCAATAAATTGTGCTGTGATAACTGTCTAGCCATTTGCAGAGGAATGAAACTAGACCCTTACCTTTCACAGCTTATAAAAATTAACTCAAGATGGGCTAAAGTTTAAGTTCAAGACATCAACTATAAAATTCCTTGAAGAAAACCTAGGGAGTACCATTCTGGTCATGGGCCTTGGCAAAGAACTCAGGACTAAGTCCTCCAAAGCAATTGCAACACAAACAAAAATTGACGAGTGGGACTCAATTAAACTAAAGAGCTTTTGCACAGCGAAAGAAACAATCGACAGAGTAAACAGACAACCCACAGAATAGGAGAAAATATTTGCAAACTACGCATTTGACAAAGGCCTAATATCCAGAATCTATGAGGACCTTAAACAACTCGACAAACAAAAAACAACCCTATTAAAAAATGGGCAAAGGACATGAACATGCACTTCTCGAAAGAGGAAATGTAAATAACCAACAAACATATGAAAAACTGCTCTACATCACTATTCACTACAGAGATGGAAATCAAAACCACCAAATACTATCTCACATCAGTCAGAATGGCTAGAATTAAAAGGCCAAAAAATAACAATGCTGGTAAGGCTGTGGATAAAAGCAAATGCTTATTCATTGTTGGTGGGAAAGTAAATTAGTTTAGCCACTGTGGAGAGCAGTTCGGAAATTTCTCAAACAACTAAACTCCCATTCAACCCAGCAATCCCATTACTGGGTATATGCCTAAAGGAAAATAAATCATTTTATTCAAAACACACATGCACTTCCATGTTCATTATAGCTATATTCACAATAGCAAAGACATGGAATCAACTTAGGTGCCCATCAGTGGTCAGCTGGATAAAGAAAATGTGGTGTATATATACACCATGGAATACTATACAGCCATAAAAAAGAAATAATATTCTTTGCCACAACATGGATCTAGCTGGAGGCTGTCATCCTAAGTGAACTAATGCAGGAACAGAAAGCCAAATACTGTGCATTCTCATTTACAAGTGGGAGATAAACATAGTTCACTCATGGACATAATGTTAGGAACAGTAGACCCTGGGGACTAACAGAGGAGGATGTGGGGTAAGGGCTGAAAATCTACCTATTGGGTACTATACTTGCTGCTTGTGTGACAAGATTATTCATACCCCAAACTTTAACACCACACAATATACCTGTGTAATAAACCTGCACATGTACCCCTGATTCTAAAATGAAATTAGAAAGTATAAGAAATATCCTCCCTAATGTTGCTGAAAAAAAAATTTAAAAAAGTCAATCATTAGTTTCATCAGACTCATAAGACAGTGAACAAAGACGTGTCAAAGATTTATAATCAGGGCTGAAAAAATTAAGACAAAATAACTTAAATCGTAGGGTTAAAAAAAAAATGATTTGAGCCTTACCTCAAAACCTCTTTTGATCTTAACTGCACAATGGAATGATGTAGTGAACATGTGATTTTTAGTCTCCTCATCACTCTCTCTTCCTCTGGGAAATCCTCTGTTTTCAGGCCAGAATCACCCAGTAACTTTGATATACTTTCAAAATCCTTGCCTTAGAGTTGGCCTCATGACATAGACTTGGCCATTTCATCCTTCCTGGGATATTTACATTTTTAAATTGAGAAGGGGTGAGGTGGTCTCTCTATAGTGGTAGAAGTCATAGGAAGTCATAAGGTGGGGAGGGAGGGAAGGAGAGGGAGAGAGAGAGAGACAGAGAGGAGAGAGAGGAGAGAGGGGGAGCAGAGAGAGGGGGAGGAGAAAGAGGAAAGAGAGGAGAGAGAGAGGAGAGAGAGGAGAGAGAGGAGAGGGAGGAGAGAGAGGAGAGGGAGGAGAGAGAGGATGAATGAGAATGAATGGAGGAAGTAGTCAAGCTCAAGCCGTTTCAGTTGGCTATAGCTCTGCATATTCTACTTAACTTACTGGTTGGCTGGATGATCTCTCTGAATTTCATGAGCTGGCCTAGTTAACCGGATTTGATTTTTTTTCCTCTTGCAACCAAAAGAGCCCTGAATCATACACAGACTTTAAAGCTGTTTCAGAAGACAGTAGGGATTTTGATGATGTGTCTTTCAAATTGTCTATGTATGTTAGTGTAAAGGTTTGCTAATTTAACTTTCTTTGGGAATAATTTCTGGTACTTGTGCATCTTGAGCATAATGTGTTATAGCATAAACTATTTTGTGCATGTTTTGGTATGGTGTTTAGTATACAATGCTAACTATTATAGGTGGAAATGTCTGCTATATATTTACCTGAATTTATGACTGGTCTTAATAATTTAAATGGGTCCAGACTGATTTTATCCTTTCTATCAAAATGAGAAAGTTTTATTTTTCTGCAGCTTTCTGTTCCAGTTTGATGCAGACAGGATGAAGACACTAACATTCCTGTAGCTGAGTGTAATGGAGAATGATGTGTAGGTAAAGCTTCAGAGAAGAGAATCCCAGGAGAGAGTGAACTTCTGGATCCAAAAACCTCATACTCACCATCTTGGTGACCTAGGAGGTAAGACTGATTCCACTGTCCTGGTGGGGATTTCCTAGTTTAGATGAATAAAGTAGCTAATAGTTAATCAATATCTCATTTGTTTGTTGATTTTATTTCCTCTGAAAGAAATGGCTCTGATCTCAAATTTTAAAAGCTATTTTTATTTCAGGTGAAGCAACCATGATCAGTTTGACTGAAATCAAGGTAAGTAATACATAATTTATAACATCTGAAACAATTTTCTTAATGCAACTTCTGGGGGTGGAGGATAGTTACTCTTTAGAGATAGCATTAGCACATACTTTATTAGCATTCATGCCTTTACCGGAAAATGAATGTAGACATTATAGGTCTGTCATAGATCACTAACACATTAAAACAGTGTCAAAAGACTTAAAATATCCTTTATGGTATTAAACTGTTAATTTTTAGTGTTTATTTCTGTACTGATTTTTTTTATTTACAAGTACAATTTATTTGATGAAAGTTATTTTCATAAATGTAAGTTGTAACACATTCAGACAAAATTTAGCCTGGCTAAGAGTATTCATGAAGGGTTCTCCTTAACTGGGATTGCCTGTCCTTGAGAAATAATACTTAGGCAGGGCCCATCTGCTGTAAAACTCTGTGGATCGTGATCTCTGGAGGGGTTCTTTGAATCAAAATAATAAAAACTTTGTAGAGACTGAAATAATATTATGTCTAAACACTTTACTACTTACATTTATAAACCACACAGTATAAGAGTGGGTGGTATTTTTGAAACAGTTCCAGTTCTTCATAAAGTGGCAATGATAATCCATAGCAATATAGTTACAATTATAGTAACAGTATAGTCACAGTATAGTAACTAACAATATAGTAACAGTAGAGTGATGAGACAGTTTTTATTATGTTGTTAAGATCCTTTTCTTTGTGTCCTCTTTGTGTCCTGGGACATTTGTCCTGATGCCCACCTCTGGCTGCAGGGACCATATTGCTGGCAGTTCCATAATTTTCTTTTTGTCCACTGTCATTAAACATGAATGAATCACTTATTAATTCACTGATTCCTGCAGATTTTTACTTCTCACAAATAGGCTATGGAATGCACTAACTGTTGTACTTGTTAATGAAAATCGCTGAGGTTCAGCATGTGGTGTCTGTAATTTTCTCCAGGGTCTTTGTTCCCTTTGTGGAAAATAAAAGTTTTCTATGCTGAGGGACTGAGAGAGACAATTATAAATCTTCATTGGTTAGAAGAGTCACTTCTTTCTTTGAGTCTGGTCTGGAAATACATTTGATTCACTTTGTACAGCACTCAGATTTTTTTTTTTTTTTAAAGCAAATCCCAAGAAAGGCTTCTCCAGTCAGCAACACCTTGAAATTATTATGATGACTTCAAATTCCATATTAGGTGGGCTTTAAAAGTTATTATTTTGTTTGTTTCTTGTGGTAAAAAAGCAGTATCCAGCATTTTTAAAATTTAGAGTATGACAGTATTTGTTTTATGCTGGTATTTTCACTTATATAAGGTTAAACATTTTATTATTTTTTTAAATTGTACTTTAGGTTCTGGGGTACATGTGCAGATCATGCAGGATTGTTGCATAGGTACACACATGGCAATGTGGTTTGCTGCCTCCATCCCCCCGTCACTAACATCTGGCATTTCTCCCCATGCTATCCCTCCCTGACCTCCCCACACCACCCTGCCACTGTCCCTCCCTAGACCCCTCCCAACAGACCTCAGTGTGTGATGCTCCCCTTCCCTGTGTTCTCATTGTTCAACATCCACCTATGAGTGAGAACATGCAGTGTTTGATTTTCTGTTTTTGTGTCAGTTTGCTGAGAATGATGGTTTCCAGATTCATCCATGTCCCTACAAATGACACGAACTCATCATTTTTTATGGCTACATAGTATTCCATGGTGTATTTGTGTATTTTCCTTATCCAGTCTATTGTCGATGGGCATTTGGGTTGGTTCCAAGTCTTTGCTATTGTAAACAGTGCCACTATGAACACAGGTTTACATGTGCATGTGTCTTTATAATAGAATGATTTATAATCCTTTGAGATTATAATCATTGTAATGGGAAGCTGGGTCAAATGGAATTTCTATTTCTAGGTCCTTGAGGAAGTGCCACACTGTCTAATGCATTATGAGTCATTTGGACTTTTTGGTGGAGTTTTGCTTTATTTAGCCATACTTTATTTTCTTCGTGTTTCTTTTTGATGGGGGTTCCTCAGGAAGTCCAGAAGCCTTGACTGAAGTGAGGACATGGTAGTGAGTCAAGGAGGTGTCCTGGCACATACCAGAAATGGCAGTGACTGCAGTGCAGTTTTAGCTATTTCAGGTGGTGGCTGCAGGCATCAGCAGCACTCTGACTTCATAATGTGTGCACACTGTGATGTGCAATATATGATCCTTTCTGACACCAGCTGCATGTGGTGTTGCCCTTAGGGCACTGGAAAGGATGTGAAGGTAAGGTTGAGTGGCTTTCTGTGTCTTTCTGAATTTGTTTAACCAATTGAGGTATCCTAACTGCGATGTCAATTGAAGAATATGAGGGACTAAGGAAAATGAGAAAATTGACAGGAGTCTGATGGATCTCAATTTACATAGTAATAGGTGATTACTTTGGACAGCGTTCTTGTATTAGAACAGATAACCAAAGACTTAATGGGTAGGTTGGTGGAGAGCTCAGTGGAGAGTTAATGTATTTGGAAAGTGTCCCAAAGTGTACTCAGTCAGGATTCTGTCAGCTGGGAAATGAATTTCATAAATATTCATTGTTTGGAAAGAAGATGGAACCAATGGGAAGGATAGAAAATAATGAAGAAATATTGAGGTGTAACAGAGGACAATATCATGGTTTATTACTATGTGTTCTATAGACTTGTTTCTGGAAAGTACAAAGATTTAGATGAGCCCTCTGGACTGAACTCATACAGAAGCTGTTTCTTATGTACTTGCGCGTTTTGTCTTGTTGTTTTGGTCTGAAGTAATCTTGTGACCTGACCTTTCTTACATGGAACTCAATATTTATTAATATTAATTAGCATGTTATATATGGGAATTAAACTTTAATAATATTTAATATACAAATTGGTACTAGCATTTACCTTAGTGTGCATGTCACATGTCATATGTCAAAAAATAGATGAATGATGTAGGAGCTCAACATGTTGCTGTAGTTTGCAGTTCATATGCAAAATATGAACTGCATAAATTGGAATCTATAGATTGTAATCTGGATTTAAATGGCAACTCTCACAAAATTAACAAGTGGCTTAAAAAAATTCTAGCCAAAGAATTTTGGATTTGGGAGAAACTAATAATGCAGAACTACAGGTAATGGAATTAGGATAGTCCTAGACCTAATTTTTTTTGTTTGTTTGTTTTTTTGAGATGGAATTTCACTCTTGTTGCCCCAGTCTGGAGTGTAAAGGGACAATCTTGGCTCACTGCAACCTCCATCTCCAGGGTTCAAGCAATTTTCCTGCCTCAGCCTCTCGAGTAGCTGGGATTACAGGTGTCTGCCATGATGCCAAGCTAACTTTTGTATTTTTATTAGAGATAGGGTTTCACCATGTTGGCCAGGCTGGTCTTGAATTCCTGACTTTAGGTCATCCATCTGCTTCAGCCTCCTCAAGTGCTAAGATTACAGGTGTGAGCCATGATGCCTGGCCCCTAGTCCTAATTTTAAATTCTTTTAAAATATCCTTTCTTTCTCTGTCTCTCTCTTTCCTTCCTTGCTCTTTCCTTCCTCCCTCCCAACTCCCTTCCTCTCCCTCTCCCTCCCCTCCTTTCCTCCCCCAATACTTCCTTACCTTTTTTTATTTTAGGTTCAGGGGTACACAGGAACCTTCATATAGGTCAATTGCATGTTGCAGGGATTTGGTGTAGAGATCATTTCATCATCCAGGTAATAAGCATATTATTCAATGGGTAGTTTTTCAATCCTCTTCCTCCTTTCACTTTTTCGATCCTTTTCTGCCTTTGACCCTCCAGCATCAGTGAGGCCGCAGTGTCTGTTGTTTCCTTTTTTGTGTCCATATTTACTCAAAATTTAGCTTTCACTTGTAAGTGGGAACATGAATTGTTTGGTTTTCTGTTCCTGTATTAATTTGCTTAGGATCATGGTCTCCAGCTTTATCCATGTTGCTGCAAAGGACATGCCCTCATTCTTTTTTATGGCTGTGTAATATTTCACGGTGTAAATGTGCCACATTTTCTTTATCCAGTCAACCACTGATGGGCATTTAGGTTCATTCCATGTCTTCACTATTGTGAATAGTGCTGCAATGAACATATGTGCATGTGTCTTTATAGTAGAACAATTTATATTCCTTTGTGTATGTACTCAAATGGTAGTTCTGTTTTAAGTTCTTTGAGAAACCACTACACTGCTTTCCACAGTAGCTGAACTAATTTTCATTCCCACCAGCAGTGTGTAAGCATTCCTTTTTCTCTGCAATCTCGCCAAAATTTGTTATTTTTGTATTTTTAATACCTGTTCTGTCTGGCATGAGATGGTGTCCCATTGTGGTTTTGATTTGCATTTCTCTAATGATTAGTGATGTTGAGCAATTTTTTTTTCATATGCCTCTTGGACACGTGTATATCTTCTTTTGAAGTGAATGTCATGTCTTTCATTTCCTTTGCCCACTTTTAAATATGGTTGTTTCTTTCTTGTTCATTTGTTTAAGCTCTTTACAGATTCTGAATATTAGACCTTTGTCAAATTAAGAGTTTGTAAAAATGTTTTCTCCCATTTTGTAGGTTGTCTGTTTAGTCTATTGATAGCTTCTTTTTCTAGACAGAAGCTCTTTAGTTCAGTTAGGTCCCACTTGTTAATTTTTGTTTTTGTTGCAATTGCTTTTGGCATCTTTGTCATGAAATCTTCGCCAACACCTATATTCAGAATGGTATTTCCTAGGTTACTTTTCAGGGTTTTCATAGTTTTACATTTTACATTTAAATCTTTAATTTGTCTCAAGTTGATTTTTGTGTATGGTGTAAGAAAGTGGTCCAGCTTCGATCGTCTTCATTTGGATAGCCAGTTATCCTAGCACCATGTATTGAATAGGGATCCTTTTCCCCATTGCTTGTGTTTGTCAACTTTGTTGAAGATTATTTGGTTGTAGGTGTGTGGGTTTATTTCTGGGTTCTCTATTCTGTTCCATTGGTCTGTGTTTTTGTAACAGTGCCATGCTGTTTTGCTTACTATAACCTGATAGTATATTTTGAAGTCAGGTGATGTGATGCTTCCAGGTTTGTTCTTTTTGCTTAGGATTGCCTTGACTATTTGGGCTATTTCTTTGACTCCATATGAATTTAAAAATAGATTTTTCTAATTCTTTAAAGAATGTCAATGGTAGTTTGATAGAAATAGCAGTGAATCTGTTAATGGCTTCGGACAGTATGGCCATTTTAAAAAATGTTGATTATTCCTAATCATGAGCATGGAATGCTTTCCATTTGTTTGTGTTAAGTTTAATTTCTTTAAACAGTATTTTGTAATTATTGTTGTAGAGATCTTTCACCTTTCTGGTTAACTGTATTTCTAGGTATTTTATTTATTTATTTTTTGGTGGTTATTGTGAACAGGATAGTGTTCTTGATTTGGCTTTCAGGTTGAATGTTATTGGTGTATAGGAATGCTACTAATTTTTGTACATGGATTTTGTATCCTGAAAGTTTGCTGAAGTGGTTTGTCAGATAAAGGAGCTTTTGTGCAGAAACTATGGAATTTTCTATCTGTAGGATCATATCATCTGCAAATAGAGATATTTTGACATCCTTTCTTCCTAATTGGATGCCTTTTATTTCTTTCCCTTGCCTGATTGCTCTGGCGAGGGCTCCTTTGTTGAAAGAGGGCATCTCTGTTTTGTTGTGGTTTTGAAGGGGAATTCTTCCAGCTTTTGCCAATTCAGTATTGTGCTCACTGTGAAATTTTTATAGATGGCTATTATTCTTTTATAGTATGTTCCTTTAATGCTGATATTGTTGAAGGTTTTTTTTTTTTTTTTTAACATGAAGCAGTGTTGAATTTTGTAAAAATTCTCTGCATTTCTTGAGATAATCATGTGGTTTTCATTTTTAGTTCTGTTTATGTGGTAAAGGACATTTATTGACTTTCATGTGTTGAACCAGTCTTGAACCAGTAAAACCTACTTGATGATGGCAAATTTGCTTTTTGATGTGCTGCTGGATTCAGTATGCTACTATTTTGTTGAGGGTTTTGCATTACTGCTCATTAAGAAAACTAAACACCACATGTTCTTACTCATAAGTGGGAATTGAACAATAAGAACACATGAACACAGGGAGGGGAACATCACACACTGGGGCCTGGAGGGGGGTGGGGAGCTAGGGGAGGGATAGCAGGGAGTTGGGGGATTAGGGAGG